GCGCGGAGAGCTGGAGCGCGTTGCTGGCTGAGGTCTCCGAGCGGCTCGCCATGGCTGGCCCGCAGCAGCAGCCCCCTTACCTGCACCTGGCCGAGCTGACGGCGTCCCAGTTCCTGGAAATCTGGAAGCACTTTGATGCAGACGGTCAGTACAGCTCCCAACTTCTGTACCCAGCGGCCCCCAGGGGACCTGCAGTGGAGGGACGGGGCATTGCTCAATGCGGGCAGGTGAAGGGTTGCCTTAAGGGATGCGCTAGTCGCACAGCTTGCTGGGGCCAGGGTATGGAGTGTGGGAGACCTCCGGCTGCTCTGGTGACAACTGTCAGGAACTTTTCCCTGACATAGCCGAGTCCAGCCGCTTCTGCAGCCTCATTCCCAGCAACTTGGAGCTTTCCCAGAGAGGAGGCCTGGGCTGGAAAGGCGCCCCACGTTTCACCTGCCACCTTCCGCACCCTGGCCTTCACGGGAACTTCCTGTCTCCTCTGCCGCAGCCACGGGTCTCGGAAGCCCACTCCTGTCTTCCCCCAGTTCCCCTTTGGTTCAATGCCAGGTTAGTCCCCTGACCATTCTGGAGGCTGGGGCCAGCGGGGTGAGGGAACGGCCCTGAAGGGAAACCCGCGGCCTCCCCAGCCTGGTTGGCAGAAGCAGGCGAGAAAGTGGCGTCTGGGCCCCGGACACCTCTCTGGCCTTTCTTCACCCACTTTCTGCCCCTCACGGGCATGCAGGTTTCCCACCTATGGCAGTGGTGGGTGTGGTGGGAGCAGGGTTGGCGGCCCCTGAGCTGTCCCCTGATGGTGAGACTCCTGGGTGCTTGGGTGACTGCTTCTGGGTGGGAAGGCAGCTCAGTCTACATGCCTCAGACCAGCCCTCTTCTCTGTGTGGTCTTGGCATTGTCTCGCCCAGACAGTGAGGGCCAGACTGCGGGACCTCTGGAGGTAGCTCCCAGCTTAGGATTCCAAGAGTCTATGGTCTGACTCGGTCATGGGAACCCCCTCCGGGCCCTGCTTTGTCTTCCCCCTCTGCCATCTCTGGAGGTTTTGTCCATCACTCTGTAACCAGAAGTGATCCCATGTCCCTCTCTGAGGTCCTGGCTAAGAAAGGCATCCGAAGTGTTCTGGCACCCCAGACCCATCAGCAGGGTGGTGGCTTGGGGTGGCGATCCTGGGGTTGGGAGCCAGGGGCATGGCAACAGGGAGCATCAGGTGGTGACTGAACCCAGTCCTCTCCTCCCGTCCTCACCTAGGCAGGGCATGGAGCGGCTGAACAGATCCTCTGCCCAGCGCTGCAGGGAGGCAAGGGTTAACATCTGGGCTGCTAGTGGGTGAAGTTTTGTTTCCTCCATGCCAGCTGAGAAAGCCGGGAAGGCAGAGGACTGGGCATCTCCACACTCGGAATTCCTGGAGGCGGTGGGGAGACTGAAATCTGTACAATGGGGCTGAAGCAGGGTCGTCTTTCCCATGGCTGGCCTGCGCCATAACCCTCCCTGGGTGACACGCGCTGTGTGTAGTAGGACTCCAGTCTCTGAGCATTCCCTACGGATGCTCCTGCCAGTTGATCTGCACCAGAGACTTGAAGGATTCAAGGAAAGTTACCAAGTTACAGCAGCCAAGGTTATACACGGGCCTTCTGCTCGGTGAGTCAGCTATAAACAGAGGGCGCCCCAGCTCCACATGCCCACGCCCCCACGGGAACGACCAATAATAGCACTTCCCATAGTCACGCCAGTCCTCACGTTTCTCTGAGACAGGGTACTGCTCCCGACATGATCGCACCTTCCCAAGGCCTGCCCTGTGAGGCTGCAGGACAGATGGCGACTCCCTCTTGGGACAGAGGAGGAGGCACACGGGGCGTGACTCGTCCGGGGTCATTAGCAAGAGTGGTGGGCTGGTTGCTGGCCAGTGGTTTATTCCCACATTCTGGTTTCTGGACACCTGCTTGGGTTGGAAGAGGATTTTTTCCATGACAATGGGGACAAGTCCCTCAGAGGTGAAGGGCAAGTCCTTTTTATACTCGAAGGGGAGGTGATTTAAGAAACTATGGATGCGAAGGGTCTTCATAAAGTTCACCAAAATACACATTATGAAAAAAGGATGATGGATTTCAAAATGCTGGGCACCAAAATAAACTCATACGGTAATTCCATTTTTCTGCAAACTTTCTGAAGTCTCCTTCTACACCCAAATTAGAATTCTACTAAAGGGTCCAGAATGAGGCTCTGGGTGGCCTTGCTCTGTTTCCTTCTCCCCAATCCTCCCTCCTGAAACCCCAAGGCTGTAGATGAGCCCAGCTCCCCACCCCTCCACCCTGCCTGAGGTGCCACGGCCCTCTCTGTGACTCTCTTACCAACTCTGGCTTCTGTTTTCAACTTGGAGTCTCTTCCCAACACTGGGAGGCTCTCTGATGCTCACGGCCTTAAAGACCTCTGGGAGAACTCTCCTTTGCAGCTCAGCAGGTCCTTGGAGTGAGCTCACAGGAGCCCAATTAATCCCAGCCACCAGGGAGACGGAGCCACCCTCCACCCATTCTGGGCACTCATAGTAAACAAAGACCGGGAGCCCTTAGGAGAAGCTGGATCGTAAGGAGAGTCGGGGAATGGGGGCTCTGAGCCATAACTCAGCCTGTTACAAACAGAGAGCAGGGGTCATCCTCCCAGCCCCTCTGCTCCCAGGGTTACTTTCCGAATTCTCACTAGCCTTGGACAGAGAAAGGAAGGAGCCAGTGTTTGGCATGTGGGAAATTGGCACCAGACAAGGCAGAATTCTTTGCACAAGATCACAAAGCAAAGTAGGGGACAGGTACCCAGGAATCTGGTCTCCTGCTCTCAAACCCTCCACCGACTCTTCCTGGTCAACCAAGGTCAGGCATTTGGGAGGCCTCAGGGGTTGTCCCTCAGAGGCAGAGGTTGGAAAGATGGCAGCTCGTGCGCATGTCACCTCCATGCTCTGTGTGACCCTCACATGACCGTCCATGACGGAGCCCATTGTTCTCGTGCCTCCTGATCACTTCTTCATCAGGAACTCTTACTCTGCAAGAGCCATGTGGCCTCAGGCTGCCCAGCTCAGCACACACGTGGTCTTCCCTGCGTGGCTCTGACTTGACAAGCCACCAGGCTCCTGTCCTGCTGGTGACCAGTGGGAGACCGATGATGAATGAAGTTGTGGCTCAGAAGAGCAGTGCCTTTGCCTTTGCTTCCCCTCTGGAAGCAGCTAAGAGCATAGAGTTGAGAGGGGATCTCTCCCAGAGGCAAGGAGATGTGCATGGGACCAAGCAGAGGATGGAGCCTGCATAGATACAGTCACGTGTGTGCCACAAGTTATATGAACCAGAGGGTGATTACAGGGTTCTAGAGAATACTCAAAATTTAAGGGAGAAACAGGCTTCATTAGAAAACAGAAAAATTAATTATGGTGGTTTCTATAATGAAATATTATGCAATCCATAAGAGGTGGAGTTCAGTGCTGACGTGGAAAATTGCCAGTGGGTCAGCAGATTGCATGGAGGTTAAGGCTCTGGATCCCACATGGTTGGCTGCGTGGTTCAAGACCTAGACCTGGAAGTGTGGCAAATACACTGGATAGGGCCAGCAGGTAGTGGAGTAGTTAAGGCGCTGTACTCCCATATGGTCCACTGTAGTTCGAGTCCTGGACCTGGCAGCTTGAAACTCATGCTGGGTCCATGTACATGTGTGCCCAGGATCCCAGGATGAGACTAGACAAGAAGGGATTATGGTGTGGCCATCCCCCCTGGGGAGTAATTTCTTGCTTTCTGTCTCTCTGGTGAGCACGCATGCCCTATAGCAAAAATCTCTCACAAAAGAAAGAAAAGAAAGGAAAGGAAAGGAAAGGAAAGGAAAGGAAAGGAAAGGAAAGGAAAGGAAAGGAAAGGAAAGGAAAGGAAAGGAAAGGAAAGGAAAGGAAAGGAAAGGAAAGGAAAGGAAAGGAAAGGAAAGGAAAGGAAAAGAGAAGAGAAGAGAAGAGAAGAGAAGAGAAGAGAAGAGAAGAGAAGGGAAGGGAAGGGAAGGGAAGGGAAGGGAAGGGAAGGGAAGGGAAAGGAAAAGAGAAGAGAAGAGAAGAGAAGAGAAGGGAAAAGAAAAAAAAAAATACACTGGATGCATGTACTTCCATGCCTAAAATCCTGAGAGGAGAATGGAGAGGAAATTGAGGCATGGCCATCCTCCAGGGGGATACTTTCTTACTTTCTCTGCTGTCTCTAATGAGCACACACACTCTTTAACAAAAATAAAAACGAAAAAAGAAAAATGTCCAAGAGACATCATTAAGATCCATTTAAGGCTATAGTAGAGTACTGTTACAGTATATCCCTATTTTTATTATGGATGGCATATGCTTGTTGGAAAATACACTGAGTAATACATGGCTCTCTGAAGAGTGGACGAGGCCAGATGAAAGGAGATTTTCTTTTACTTTTCTAAATTAATTTCTGTGGCACTTGAGAATTTTACAGAAGCAGGTATTTCTTGTGTTTTCAGCAAAACAACAAAGATGTGAGAAGAAAGTAATACTATGGTTAGCTCCACCTCTCCCCAAAGGAAATGTATGTGTATCCTGAGGTGTGGGGGTCAACCCAGACTTTTCTGGGCCTTTGTCCACCTCTGAATGGCCTTGAGGACGCAGGGGACTATCAAAGCCTCTCAAAGGGACTATGTCTTGTTTCTCATCTGTGTGGGCCTCTGAGGTCCCAGGATTCTGAAAATTAGTGACCACAGAGGGCTGAAGAAGGCTCTGCCTAAATTCTCCTCCTCTGGTTCTTTTTTTTTTTTTCTTTTCTTTTTTCTTTTTTTTTTTCTCTCTTTTTTTTTTTGTGTGTGTGTGTGAGAGAGGATTTTTTGCTATAGAGTGCGTGCACTCGCCAGAAAGACAGAGAGAGAGAGAGAGAGACAGAAAGCACGAAATCACCCACCAAGGGGGATGATCACACCGCAATCCCTTCTCCTCCATTCTCCTCTTGGGATCTGGAGCACGCACGCACACATGCCTGGCATGAGTTTAAGTCACCAGTGCCGGGACTCGAACCACGGCCTACTACATGGGAGTCCAGTGACATAGCCATTATGCCAACTGCCGGTCCCTCTCCTCCTTTGGTTCTAAAAGAAGTGGGCCAGCCAGGCTGCGTGGTGATTAAAGC